GTCAAGGAGAGCCAAGATATGCCTGTAGTCAGTAGGTAAATGGGGAAGTGGATACATTTAAAGACTATTGTAAGCAGATAAAGAATTCCTGGGCCATATCTTAGGCTGGCCTGCTTATGGGGTTCCCAGATCCACAGAATATCACCATTCTGTGGTTTGAACCCTTTGTAGAATTCATTGAAAAATGGAGCCTATGAGCTGATTTTGATACACAGCTTTTATGAGGGAATTTTTGGTTTTGCCTGGAAATTATCTTTAATGGAAAAGTGATTAAGTCTCTTTAGACGGTAAAACGAGCAAGGCTTCGGTGAGCAAATATATCCACTTGTCACTGCTTGCTGAAAATGGACCTAAGGTGATAACAGCAGCTGTAGTGTTGGGATTGGTCACCACAGAGATTTGCTGGCAGCACATACTGTACTTGCACCAATGTCTATTGTTCTAGTTTTGCCAAAGCCACATGTTTGCATTACACCTACACGGACACAAGAGCATGGCACTAGGTGTACAAGCATGAAAGCTTGGAATTGCACAATTACTGACACTACGGGGTGGCGTTTACAAGCAAGGATGCTATCAGTCACCCACACTACAGTCATTCAGTTTACTTTGCCATATATATTGCCTTTCAGCCTCACATTCCTAATTCAGGAGGACCCAACAGTTTGTTCAAACAAGCCTCATATTAATAGGCCAGGGTGCTCATTTATGGACTAGTTAGAAGGCAGAGGAGAAAATTGCCTGAGCTAACAATAATCCGTCCAAAAGGCTTGAAACCGATACGTGTGCTTTTTGTATATGGAACAGGTGGAACGGGAAATCTGGTTAAAGAGGAATGTAGCCATCCAGTTCTGCTATTGATCAACACCGAGTCCATCGAGTCATCCATTGCTCTATTTATATTGTGCTCAACAAGCATTATACAAGTGGCAAAGTATTGGAACGGCATATATACATATCCTGGGCATATACATACCCAGGGCTGCTCACAAAATACAAACTGGTTTATAAGAAGTTGTTTCATATTGTGAATGAGTAAACAGAGACTTGTCGGAATGGAATTAAAACCTGCAAAGTACAATGGTAAATGTTACATATCTTTATGAATTGTGTGGGTGTGAGGGCTTTCACTTACATAGTTGTGAATGTTGTTACTAGCTGTCATATGACTGTTTTTGTTCGTCTTTTAACGGTACCTTGTAGTCAAAACTGAAATGCATGCAGTTAGAAATCCTTTTGGGCCATGGCTTATGTTTGCTCATCCAAACACAGATTTAGAGCATCAGGGCGCTCCACCACAGTGCTGAAAATCACTTTGTTTGTAATTTCTGAGCCTCTACAGTATCAGGTATTCTCAGTCTGTTTAAACTCTTTACTGGCTGTCAGACCTAGATGGAATAAATACACATAAGTATTTTTTAAAGTGACATTAAAGGCTAAACCCCCCCCCCCCCCCCCATGTTAGTGTAAGAACTTACCTTAAATCATGCCTCTTGATCCGATCATCTTCTTCTTTAGTGTAGTTTTTCGGCTGTCCCTCCAGCGCTGGTGCTGGTCTCAGATCCAGTGCTGACTCCTCTGTCTTAACTAGCACTTCCTGTCCCACGGGTGCACGTTGCTCCATAGACTTACCTTGTGTCTCTCATCGTCTCACGGCCAAAGATTTGAACGGTGCATGCGCCCGCCCCAAGATCTTTTGCGGCCGCCCAAGACTCTTCAGATGTTCGGAAGGGAGCGCGCGGCGGAGACACAGGTAAGTTTAAACCCTTTTTAAACGGTATTTTTTAAATTGTTTTTTCATATATCTACCACTTGCTAGAAGTAGATATATGCAAAAAATGCTGAAAACCTTTAATCTTGGCTTGTAGGTGCTAGTCTAAAGAACGTAAACATGTTTAAAAAGCGGTGAACATATTTCTTAAAGCCCTTTGAAATACCCTTTGCTTCCAGTATAGAGTTTTGGCTATTTTAATAAAGGTGTTAAAATCAAAAGGTTTTTAAGCTATTTTAAATTCTGATGAAATCACTTACAATGGATGCTGCTCCTTGATGTTAAAAATTATTTTAGTTTCCTGCAGAATCAGCTGGTCCCCTGAGCACTGGTCCCGATATCCTGCTTAGGATGGCTCCTTTCCTTGTCCTTGTAAGGTCCTATGGTGCCTCCTTTGTATGAGCAAGTAAGCTATCTGTCTCTCCACAAATACACAAGTGAGACAAATAGCAAACACACATCAATTCATAACTAGCTTTTAAAGTAAGGTGCACATGAAAGGGCTATGTTTGCTTTTCCGCAAACACACAGGCACAGCAAGGCAAGCCGCTCCCCTCCCTACTGCTCCTCCTTCCTCCCACTTCCCTTCTCCAAGCTAAAAGATGAACAGTTGCTTGAGACTGCTCTGTCCCCTGTGATCTTGGACTGAACAGGAAGTTTAGGGAAGCAGAGCTGAGAGAGTTGGAGCTTTTTGGAAACATGATGACTAAGTGCCTGGGCAAAAATTTACAGTAATACTTTGCTGGACAATGTATATGTGTTTGCTTTGGATTCATTACTAAAAAAAAAAGATTACAAGTTGAATACTACTTTAAGGAATGTGCTGGTGGAAGCTTTTAAAAGCATTTAGCAAGCTTTGGCAGGCACTTAACTAACTACAGGAGACTATTGAACTCTTTGCTTACTATAGGCTTAACAAGCACAAGTCAATGCTTGTTAAAAACCTGCTGAACTGTGAACCCCCCTGCCCCTGTGAACTTAGCCAATGACTACGTACATAAGCCGAGGAACTAAATTTATATTTTTACTTTTGTCTTGGACTGCTTTAGCATTTTTGGAAGGATTCCAGCTGCTGCCTTGAGTTTCCCTTCAAATCTTATTATCTCTGGAATAAATGCAGGATGGGGTATTTAAAAAGAATGTTTTTTTAAGAGGAAGTCAGTAAAATAAAGGTTAATTTTCTTATCATTTTCTTTTGCAGTGGTCTTCTAATCACTCGTATGCATTAAAATATGACATTGCTTCTGACTTTTGTATAATAGCATGTTGAATACATTGAGCGCACTTCCATTTGAATGATCAGAAACATCTGCAGTGACAGGCAGTCTCCACAGTTGGGAGTTGGGGTTGGTCATAGTCACGCTACTGATGCTAAGGTAGTCTAAGGTATAACTGTATGAATTATAAGAGCCAGAACATTGGGGGTGACCATGGCAACTGTAAGAAAGGTACAGAGCTCAATTAGAAAAGCACATTTCATAAACAGAAAACACTTGAGACCTGGATGCTAGCATTATGACCATTGGTACCGCATATTTTAGCCTTTGAGGACCTTTTGAGGCAGTTGAAAGTGCTCTGCAGGAATATAGAGCAATGACAGCCACAAAGACTCTTTTTTTGCACGCAATTATTTCGTACCAACATCTAACCTGGAGAAAAGAGACAAATGTCATTTTATGTCTTTGACCTGTAACCCTTCCTATAGCTAGGGTCAGTCATTGTTTGAACTGATTGCAGTCCGCTATTTTTGTGGGTTAAAAAAAGAAAAACGCTCAACAAGCCTAGCTTTATGAAAATGAGGATATATTTTAAAGAAAGAATTCATAAATGACAATCAGCCCTTTGAGGGTCCATTCTTTGGGGCTGATGTACTAAAAGCAACTAGGCTGTTGACTTTGCAAGGACATTTTCCTGCTGACTTCCATCATCCAATCATGTGCACGTGAAAATACGATGTTTTTTTTCATTTTCCTTGCATTTTATTGGGTATTGTTTGCAAAGTTTAATTAAAGGCTAAGTTTACCTTTCGGACTATGATTTATGGGTGTGACATGAAACATCAGGACCGGCTCTATAATAAGGCATCTCATTGGATCGCATGGCAGGCACACTTTCCAGGCCAGAACGTCCCAGGTTTTTAAGCTCAGCAACCAGTGATGATCTGGCCGGCGTCCCACCGAGCTCACTGACCTTACTGCCAGGAGCCGAGCGTGATGCTCCGGCTGGCGTCCCCGGCAACCAGTGATGTCAGTGAACTTGGCGGGATGCCGGACAGAGGTACCAGTAATGGGTACCGCCAGCCCGATAATGTATGCTGTCAACACTCCCCGTAAACGAACACTGCCCCCCCCCCCCCTTTCTCAGGCCTCAGACGGCAAGAAGTGTATTAATGCCCCTGTGAAACATGGTTACATAGAAAGGGCAGAAATACATATAAATGAGCAGAAGGATAGTAGCCTTATTTGTGCCTCTTTAGGTGCAGTTGTGCTTTAAATTTACTTCTAAAAAGTCGATACATTTTAACATTACATAATCCTTAAAATGAACTCCTTAACACTAACAATTTATCCTTGAAAGGTTATCTATTGGTCTCTTGTGCTTATCGTTTCGGAATTGAAAGGTTACTGGTTCTTGTTGTAATAGTAGTAATCAGAATCCCATCTTGACTGCATGCTTATCTGATTTTTAATGCTTGCATGTGGGGGAGGGGGGCTACATATATATTTACCATTTTATTTACATTGCATATTCGCACTCTATGGGGGTTATTCACACAAAGGGTGAAGAGTTTGGAGAAGGCAGGAGAAGTGAACAATCAAGGACAACATAGCTGAACTGGAAAGTGAGCTGAATTGGAGACATTTTGCAGTTCAGCGATGTTGTCCTAGATTGTTCACTTCTCCTGCTTTCTCCAAACTCTACACCCTTTTGTGAATAACCCTGTATGTGTTCATAACAGAAGATAACAGTGGATCACTATAGCTTTTGTAGAGTTTAGAGCAGCTGTTCCACATTCATACCTGACATCAAACTGTTAAATAAAGAGGAATTTCAGTTTTCCCATTTTTCCTCTTACACTCTCTTGATGTTCTGAAGGTGCAAAAAAATATTTTCTTGTTTGATGTATTCGATAAATCCAGTTTGTAAGAATCGCTGATGTTGTTACATTGGATTGGACACTGCCCTAAGAGTGAATAAAACCTGACCATATTGTATGTTTTACTTTCAGATGTCAAAGATGCTGCTGCTTGTCTTGCTAATGTCCATTGTTCTGTACTGCGGTGGCGCTCAGCGTTCTGAGCCCATGTTCACGGCTGTCACCAACACTGTTCTACTACCAGATTATGAAAATAATCCAACACAGCTGAATTATGGGGTGGCCATCACTGATGTGGACAACGATGGGGACTTTGAAATCGTAATAGCTGGGTAAGTGACATTAAAAAGATTTTATACACAAATGTACTACATGTTAAACATTTAATGCTTAGGGAAGAACTCTAATAAGCACCTTTTGTATCCAGCCTGACGATGTAAACAAATCCAGTACCACTATAGACAAAAAAACAAACCTTATAGCATGTAATATGTTTATACGTGTAACTGGCATATGTGAAAGAATTGCAAAAGCTAGATGTTGTATGCCGCCTGCAAGGAGAACACACAAAAGAAGCACTTCTCCACGGCTCAGGAAAGGAATGATCCGGGTGCTTGTCACTGGGAGCACATCTTCGCTCCAACATGAGCCCATACAAATAGAACCTTGGATCTTGGGCTGGAAACCAGTGATGTGGTATAAGTTGTACGGGTTGTATGCAGCCTTTCTTATCCTCAGAATGCCAAAAGGAAGTATGAACTAGGAATGTCTAACTTGCCAACCATTATGGAAGTGGAGGTTTCCCTTTACTGTTCTTTGTAAGCTGTGCCAGTGAACATAATATAGTGAAAGACGTGGGAACACAGCTAAACAATTTTAGGGAACTGCATAATAGGCTGCCAACCCAATGAATTGAAGTAAAAGCCTTATGGATAAGTACACTTTAAAACAAAGTGCACTTGTCCTTTTTTTCCCATCCCTAACCTTAACAAACCCCACTTCCCCTCCACAGATCTGTACTTACCATGATCTTACAGGCACAGTTCCTCTACTGTTTACATCCTGGGCCATTGTGCTCCCTCTGCTGGCCACACCTGCACACTACAGCCCCATAGACTTCTATGGAGCAGTCTATGAGCAGGGAGATGGATGTTGCCAGGAAGGAGAGACTCGCAGCGCTGGCTCTCAACAAACAGCAGAGAAGCAGCCGTCAGATCTCAGTAAGTACAGATCTGCGGAGGGCGAGGGTAGGGTCATTTATGTCAGAGAAAGGGGGAAAAAAAATAAGTGCACTAATTCATTAACTGTTTTTCTTTAGAGTGTAGCTCTACCACCCCAAAGAAGCTGCTGGCAAATGATGGGTTCCTTTACAGCTTCCAGAGAAGCCCAAATTATTACTGTTGGGCCTCTACCTGGACACAGCAATAATAATTTGGACTTTATTATTAAAATGAACAGCAGGAAGTCCTGCAGAGAAGTATTAGGGAGACAGATTGAGCAGCACTAAAGGCAATAGATTAACAGCATTATCATCCAGTAATACAGTGAATATAATAGGGTTGGTGGGCTTATGTTCTTTCTCTGTACCACCAGTGAAAGGCCTTGCCTGAAATTCACTGGCTGATTGGAGAATGATGCTGCAAAATGTAACAAATGTCTGTGCTACGCAGTATGAGGGGAGCATTCATTCCCCTTCAATTAAGAATCCAGTGAGATTTGCATTATTTCCTTTACGAGTGACTAATTTGTCTCAACAGTTTTCTTCAACAAGGCAAAAATAAAGGCTAGACTGTAAAATTAAAAAGTCCATATATGTGTGTATATGTACACTGAGTGGCCAGATTATTATGACCACCTGACGTTTGTAGGCAAATTATCTATAATTAGCTATAATTTTGCGCTGAAGTTGCTAGATGGCCAGACCATTATAAATAGGGAAGCAGGTTGTTTACCACGACAGTAGAAGTGATTTTTTTCGGAAGATATGGGTAAACAACGCAATTTAACAGCCTTAATATGATATGCATGTAATTATTGTAGAAAACGAAAGGGTAAGAATGACAATCCTAGGTCATGTACCTTAAAGTGACACTAAACTCAGTAATGTAGCCACCACTCCATGATGGGCTACAATCTCCATACGCATGAGTAAACTAAACATGTAGCGGTGACTACTTTGCAACACACAGGGACCATTGGAAACAAAAGAAGCCGCCCTGCAGAAGGAAGGACTGTGGCAGCACCAATTCAGAGATGATTTGAGGATCTACAGATCTACAGATGAGTGGTACACAAATAAGATACATTTTAGATAATAGTTAAGGTACTTGATTACATCTTTAAAATTTAACTCCTGAGCTTAGTGCCACTTTAAAAATGAATCAGCAATGGCAACTCCTATAAAGCACAAGAGACATGCTCAGAAGATCAGGACACTAGACATGTAACAAAGTCCAAAGTCCAATTTGGGTAAATCCAAATTCTAGATTTGCCTACTCAGTGGCTGTCCTTCCCACGGACCCCTTAGGACCAACAGAAGGGCAGTAATTCTTCAAGAGGGTAAGTAGAACTTTTTTTTTCATTACTATAGTGCAATCTCTAGTTTTTATTTCTAAAGTATATCAACAGTTCCACCAATATTCAGGTGCCCATTCTTTCCAACAACCCATCTCTCTAATGTCATAAGACATTTGGACACCATAGATGGGATTTTATGAACATTTGTTGACAATGTGACATTTCTGTTTTTCACTGTCTTGTCAAGATTTTCTATACTTATCATTGCAATTCTTCCAGTTTTTTTTTTATATAGCACTGCCTATTAGTCAACACTTTGCAGAGTCCATAAAACCAATTGCAATAGTTCCTTTCACACAAAGACGTTCACAATCTAACAGCCCTGCCTGTTAAATTACCCCCATATTTTTGGATTGATGGAAGTGCAGAACCCATAGAAAGCACTCACAAACAGGAATAATCGCCCTTGAACATACATTGACCAGCTTTTAGAGGTTTTTTTGAAAAACTTTGGCAGGTGATTGTTGGCTTTTCATGAATAAGACCGAACCAGCACATTTCACTCACTAGTTTAAAAATAATGCCTTGTTGAGAAATGTCAAATCTGTAGCAAATGCAGCCAGTGTGTTACAAAATAGGTGAGTGCGTCTAAGCCTAGCAGGCTAAGTACAAGATCTCTTCAAGGGTCCACCCGTACCCTGTTAATGTTTTTGCCATGAGGAATATGTTGCTTTTGAAAAGTTAAAGAAATAATTGAACAGTTTGCTTGTCAGCTTTTTATTTTTTAAATATTCTAGAGACCTAATCACAATTCAGCGCTACCACAGGAGGATTTTGTAAAAGATTACATTTGCAGATGTCTACATAACTCCAGGCATTCAGGAAAACATACCGTTGAAATACATATATGGGACTTGTTTAACCTGCCAAAAGTTTTCTAACAGGGCTATTCACAAAAGGGTGAAGAGTTTGGAGAAGGCAGGAGAAGGGAACAATTTAGGCCAAAATAGCTGATTAGGAAAAATTCTCCAATTCAGCTCACTTCCTAGTTCAGCTATGTTGTCCTAGATTGTTCACTTTTCCTGCCTTCTCCAAACTCTACACCGTTTTGTGAATAACATTGTAAAATGTTGGGAATCCAGAAAGTTGTTGAGAGTGATGAGCAGATAGAAGTCAGCACTTCCACAAAGGTCATCGGGAAACCAAGTCTCACTTTTGCCTCTGATTCTTCTTCCATTTTCTTCCTACGTCGTTGAGCAGCAACATAAACAGAAATCACTCCCAATAAGGTAGCATTCAAAACGATTTAAACATGTAGAAAGTTACATTCCAATAGCATTAAATCCACATGTGAATGTGCAGTGTGTTTAATATACCAACCCAGGTAAACAACGTTTCCGTACATCTCTGAGCACATGCAGCCCCATACTGCAGAGAATCAGGTGCCTGTCTTCACCTCAATGCATTTTGAATTGGATCAGCTCTTTACTCTTTATCAGGACCTACGGGGAGTAGGAAGCGTTGTAGATTTGTGCGTGTTATTATTGACTGTTTTCACCAACTGATGCAGTGTTTTGTGAGGCTGCTCCACCACTGGGATGTGCTCCTAGTTTTTGCCAGCATTGTTGCTAAATGAAAATACGAGTGTTTCAGAGACCAACTGAATTTTTATTTAAAAAAAAAAGTCTTAAAGGCTTACAGTTCATTTTCCTTAGAAATCAGCTACAGCCTGAGTAGAAAAGCCTGTACCCTGCCAGTACACTGTAGAGTAGCCTTTCTCAATCAGGGTGCCTTGACACACAAGTGTGCATTCTGGCTTCCTCAGGGGTGCCTCAAAATTTTCACACCGCATCATGCCTCTGATGTGAAAGATGGACTCTGATGTGAAGGGGTGCTTCTGATTTGAAAAGGGTCTCCTAATGTGAAAGGGAGGACTCTGATGTACAAGTATGACTATTAGGGTTAGTCCACACCATATGCAGTGCGTTCCTGTCCGATTCTGGTCAGAACGCACTGCATCGCATTGTGGCTGGCTCACTTTTTTGCCGGGCCGGATGGGGCGTGGCGGGCCAATAAAGTGGGATCGTAGCCACGCCCTCCGGCCGCAATGCGATCGCCAGCACGGTGCGATGAAAATGCTGCAAGCACTATTTTGATCGCACCGGACCACACTGCAGGCACAATGTGCCTTTCGATCCCGTGCGGGCGATAGCATTGTGGCCGGAGGGCGTGGCTACGGTGCCATTCACTTCAATGGCACGCTATGCCCCCTCCTGCCCGGCAAAAAAGTGAGCCGGCTGCAATGCGATGCAGTGCGTTCCGGACAGAATCGGACCGGAACACACTGCATATGGTGTGTTCCGGTCCGATTCTGGAAATGTAAAAAATTGCCAAACAGTCACTCATAAATGAATGATTGCAGAGTGATTAATCTTCTGCTACTATTGAGGTCCAAAGCGATTTACTTTAGAGAGATTATTACTCTTGCTATGCTTTGAAACGGCAGCATTGAATCATCAAGTGATCACATGTTTGCAAATTTCTTGTGCATCAGGTCTTATTAAAAGTAAAACTGCAAGCTAAAATATAGAAATGACTTATATGGATATAAAGAGTTTGTTTATTACCCAACACTCTTAAAAATACGCAAATGTCTATGGTATGATGTACATATGGACAGTAGTCATATCAGGAAGCCAGATTTAAAAGGAATTTCAACAAATATAATAAACATTCAAAAAATGATCAAAAATGATAATACAAAAAGTGAAGTTAACTATATATAATATATAAATATATAAATTATTATTTGTGC